ATGATGCACCGATCTGTCCTCTTATTTCTGACTCACCTGAACGCAGCGCAGTGGTAACAAATCTCCGCCGGGCTGAGTTTCTTCATCAGGTTGTGTGACAGCCGGATGTGTGTTTTGGCCGTGTGGGCAGATGAAGCAGGGCCGGGCGTCACAGCCATTAACCAGCAGCAGTTTGAGCACGGGCAGAGACTCCATGTTGAGAAGAATGGCCGACGGGAACGAGGAGGGCTGGGTGGAGATCTGAGCGTTGACATCAGCCCCGTACTTCAGCAGCAGCGTCGCCATGTCCAACCAGCCAAGCCGCACGGCGATGAGCAGAGGGTTGAACACGTCCAGGTTAGGGTCGGCGCCAGCCTCCAGGAGCATCTCCGAGGCCTCCAGGTTCCCGTTGTAGACGGAGAAGTAGAGCGCTGTGGTCCGCCGGTCCTCATACATCATGGAGTGTTGTGCTGACAGCTTGGCGTTGACGTCAAAGCCGGACTGGATCAGCAGCTCCATGATGTCATCCCAGTTCTTCTCTGCTGCGACGTGCAGAGGACTGATACCACAGAGCTGGATCCTGACCCTGCTGGTCACCGGGATCAGCATCATCACGATCCTGGAGACCCAAAGGGGAGCGGACACAGATCTCTGAGAAACAAACAGCTGCTGAGAGTTAACCCCCTTATGCATCATTATGGACATTTTTGTCCATTTGGTCAAATGTTTCCTCTTCATCTGGTCATCATTTTGTCTGTTAGTGCATATGGCACCATGTTTTGTAAGAAAGACTCTCTCTTGACACATTTTGGAATGCACTTTTAATGTTTTTTAATAGATCAATAGAACACTGAGAAACATGTTTACTACCCTCTGAAGTCACTAAGGACAAAAAATGTCCACTTACAAAAAACTGATATAAAACTAGAACAGATTGATATTTTTTTCTACTTTTTTCTGCATAAATCTCTTAAACAACTTCAGCCCTGCTCAAAACTACCAATCATTCAATCATTTTTAGGAATTTAACCCTTTAAATGCCAGTTTGATTACTTGATGTCACTGTTGTTATTTAAGAAAAAAACACAAAAATAAGTTATTTTCCATATAACAAATATTTGGTGGCTGGGGGATTTAAAAAAAAAAACCAGTCTTGGATATGTCAAAGATTATCCAAAATATTGACTTTGATGCATTGTTAGTTTTTGTGTAGCATCAGATTTAAAATGTCCCTGTTTGGACATTGGAGGGAGAAAATGTCCAATTTACAAAAACTGCTATAAAAATAGAACAGATTCATATTTTTTTGCATAAATCTCAACTTCAGCCCTGCTCAAAACTAACAAATATTGAATAATTAACAGGAATTTAACCCTTTAAATGCCAGAATCATGTAATCAAACTGGCATTTAAAGGGTTCCTGATAATTACTCAGTATCTGATATTTGTGAGCAGGGCTGAAGTTGTTTAAGAGATTTATGCAAAAAAAGTAGAAAAAATTATCAATCTGTTCAATTTTTATGGCAGTTTTTTGGCATGGACATTTTTGTCCTTAGTGACTTAAGAGGGTCATAAATTAAAGTGATGCCTGAGGGTTAATTAAGATAATTGGGGCCCTTGGTCCAAGTAAACATTACATACATTAGGATATAGCTTTCACTAAAGTCAACATGCACGTTTAGACCAAATATAATTTAAGAAGAAGAAATATCTGTATTTGTGTAAATGACAGGCGACACTGACTGTTTGTGATTGTTCTGAACGGCCACGTGAAGAGGCAGCAGGCCCGACTTCACGGATTGGTTGGCATCAGCTTTCAGAGCGAGCAGCATTTTCACAGCAGAGACATGACCGTTCTTACAGGCCTCAAACAGCGGTGTGGCTCCATCCCCCGCCGAGTCGTTGATATCTGCCCCTGAGAGACAAAAGAACACCTGAACAACACCTTAACAACACCTTAACATCAGCAGTGTGTCTTTAACGATCATAGCTGGACAGCTAACCCCTCTCGTAGAGCAGGTGCATGATGTGGATCTCTCCGTGCTGAGCTGCAGTGAAGAACGGCGTGATGCCATAGATGTTGTTGGTCTCTAAATCCGCTCCGGCATCCAGTAACATGGTGCAGAGCTCCAGCTGTCCGTGTCTGCAGGCTTCCTGAAGAGCACTGACCCCCTGAACGGAGCAACGGTTCACCTGAGCTCCAGACCTCAGCAACAGGTGCACCACGTCTCTGTTTGGACTCTCACAGGCTGGAAAAATAACAAACAACAACAACAACAAGGACGATAAAACTACAGCAGTTACCAAAACAACAAAAAACAACAACATTATGAATTACAACAACATCTAAAGCACAACAATCGAACTCTTAACAGGCACCATAACAATGCTGTCCATAGATGTTATTCTAGTCAGAGCTAATGATGTTAGCTTACCTATGAACAGCGGTGTCTCTTGGTCTGTGTTGGCGATGTTTGGGTTGGCTCCGTGATTCAGGAGAAAGTCGACACAGGAAACGTTTCCTCGTCCGGCCGCCAGCAGCAGAGCCGTCTGATTCTTAGCACTGCGTCTGTTCACTGACTCTGGAAAGGCTGAGGACAGGCGCAGGTTATGTTTCAGTTTAACTTTGGTTTTTCTCTGTTGTTCATATCTCTTAATGAGCACAGAATATAATGCAGAAACACAATAAAGCGCAAGAATTTGTTAAACTTCTTTGGTTTGGCTCAGTTGTTAGATTCAGATGGATTGGTTGACTGGTCTAGTTGGTTCAGTTGGTTTGTTAGATTCAGTTGGATTGGTTGGCTGGTCTAGTTGGTTCAGTTGGTTCGTTAAATTCAGTTGGATTGGTTGGCTGGTCTAGTTGGATCAGTTGGTTTGTTAGATTCAGTTGGATTGGTTGGCTGGTCTAGTTGGTTTACTTGGTTTGTTAGATTCAGTTGGATCGGTTGGATTGGTTGGCTGGTCTAGTTGGTTTACTTGGTTCGTTAGATTCAGTTGGATTGGTTGGCTGGTCTAGTTGGTTTACTTGGTTCATTAGATTCAGTTGGATTGGTTGGCTTGTCTAGTTGGTTTAGTTGGTTCATTAGATTCAGTTGGATTGGTTGGCTGGTCTAGTTGGTTCAGTTGGTTTGTTAGATTCAGTTGGATTGGTTGGATGGTCTATTTGGTTCAGTTGGTTTGTTAAATTTAGTTGGATTGGGTGGCTGGTCTAGTTGGTTTACTTGGTTTTTTAGATTCAGTTGGATTGGTTGGCTGGTCTAGTTGGTTTACTTGGTTTGTTAGATTTAGCTGGATTGGTTGGCTGGTATAGTTGGTTCAGTTGGTTTGTTAGATTCAGTTGGATTGGGTGGCTGGTCTAGTTGGTTTACTTGGTTTGTTAGATTTAGCTGGATTGGTTTGCTGGTCTAGTTGGTTTACTTGGTTCGTTAGATTCAGTTGGATTGGTTGGCTGGTCTATTTGGTTCAGTTGGTTTGTTAGATTCAGTTGGATTGGGTGGCTGGTCTAGTTGGTTTACTTGGTTTGTTAGATTCAGCTGGATTGGTTGGCTGGTATAGTTGGTTCAGTTGGTTTGTTAGATTCTGTTGGATTGGTTTGCTGTTCTAGTTGGTTTACTTGGTTCGTTAGATTCAGTTGGATTGGTTGGCTGTTCTAGTTGGTTTACTTGGTTCATTAGATTCAGTTGGATTGGTTGGCTTGTCTAGTTGGTTTAGTTGGTTCATTAGATTCAGTTGGATTGGTTGGCTGGTCTAGTTGGTTCAGTTGGTTCGTTAGATTTAGTTGGATTGGGTGGCTGGTCTAGTTGGTTTACTTGGTTTGTTAGATTCAGTTGGATTGGTTGGCTGGTCTAGTTGGTTTACTTGGTTTGTTAGATTTAGCTGGATTGGTTGGCTGGTATAGTTGGTTCAGTTGGTTTGTTAGATTCAGTTGGATTGGTTGGCTGGTATAGTTGGTTTGTTAGATTCAGTTTGATTGGTTGGCTGGTCTAGTTGGTTCAGTTGGTTCGTTAAATTCAGTTGGATTGGTTGGCTGGTCTAGTTGGATCAGTTGGTTTGTTAGATTCATTTGGATTGGTTGGCTGGTCTATTTGGTTCAGTTGGTTTGTTAGATTTAGTTGGATTGATTGACTGGTCTAGTTGGTTCAGTTGGTTCGTTAAATTCAGTTGGATTGGTTGGCTGGTCTAGTTGGATCAGTTGGTTTGTTAGATTCATTTGGATTGGTTGGCTGGTCTATTTGGTTCAGTTGGTTTCTTAGATTCATTTGGATTGGTTGGATGGTCTATTTGGTTCAGTTGGTTCGTTAAATTCAGTTGGATTGGTTGGCTGGTCTAGTTGGATCAGTTGGTTTGTTAGATTCATTTAGATTGGTTGGATGGTCTATTTGGTTCAGTTTGTTTGTTAGATTTAGTTGGATTGGTTGGCTGGTCTAGTTGGTTTGTTAGATTCAGTTTGATTGGTTGGCTGGTCTAGTTGGATCAGTTGGTTTGTTAGATTCAGTTGGATTGGTTGGCTGCTGTAGTTGGTTCAGTTGGTTTCTTAGATTCAGTTGGATTGATTGACTGGTCTAGTTGGTTCAGTTTCTTACATTTAGTTGGTTCATTGGTTTTCAGTGGTTTTCCAGGCAGTTGATTTTGTGTGGTTAAGTTCACTTGGTTGGTGGTTCAGTTTGCGTGGTTGGTTGGTAGAGTTAGTTAAGTTGGCTTGGTGTGTTTGCTTTTGTGGCCTCCTGGCTGACACTACATGTTGTTAAATGAAATAAGACCAACCCAGAGACAGTCCTGATGTTAACCGTAAGAATAAACATGTTGGACTTTACTGGACTCAGTATTTAGAGACACCCAAATGAGAAACCATTATTCATCGAGTTCTCCTCACCTCTGATCAGGATACTGACCAACTGCTGCTTTCCGTAATAAGCTGCTTCATGAAGAGCAATCCAGCCTTCATTATTTGGCTTCATCAGACTGTCGGACCCCCGTCTGACCAGATCCATCAGAGTGTCAGTGTCCCCGTTTAGAATCATTGATGTCACAGGGCTGAGTTCTCTGAGACAAAACACACACAGTTTCTTCCTGCTGCTTGATTCCCCCCTCTCTACGTCATACATATTATTTTAACTATTTAGCAACTGAGGTGTTACAAATGATTCACTGAACTCTTGGCAGTTGAGGAGTCTGGCATATTCCCCACATCATTTAAAACTTCTGTCATTAAAACACTTCTCAATGCAAGTACTTTTTCCAACTACAATGCAACTACAACTACAACTCCTCAGCAAAATAGTTCAAAGAAGAATATTTTTCAGGGGATCAGTCCCACCAAAGCACAGAAACAACAGCTCTTTTAAGTTATCTATGATCTCCATACATTCTGTTCACACCTCTATTTCTCCATCTCTATATGCTCCTACACATTGTTTGGAGTAGTCCTTGGATCTTAATGGATGTGATGTGTTTGGATTAAATATTTTACTTGATTCAGATCATGGGGACCCTGCTGTTCATTCAGTAGGGTCATTTTAGTCTGAATATTATAATCAGGAGAGTAAATCTTCAAATAAGGTAAGTCAAAAGATTATTTCTTTGCCAGTGGTCTGACAGATGCTTAGATTGTGGCTGCTATGTTGGCTGTCTGTGTACGATCCACTTTGTTATTGTTTCTAAAAGCCGATCTTTGCTATGTGGGCTGTCTGTGTGTGCCTTCTGTGTTGTAAATGGGCATGTGGGGGAGCAGTAGCTCAGTCTGTAGGAACCTGGTTTGGGGTCTGGAAATTGGTCTGGAAGCCTGAGAGCTGCCAGTTCACTTCCTGAGCACTGCAGAGATACCCATAAGCAAGTAACCAACCCCCCATAAAAGGTGGTCCCTAATGGTCATGGACCAATGTCCTTCTTATGCCAAGTACCATGTGGTTGATCTAGGCGCAACAGCCTCTGCAGGTTAAAAAGACATAATGTGCATGTATCTCCTGAAGAGGAACAGCACAATTTAATAACCTGGGTCGAAGCCTGGTGGCAACCAGGGAGTTGTGATAGAGGCAAGACTGGGAAGTATGGAAGTCATTGTAAAAAGCTGGCACTCAGGTGATGGGTGTTTGGTTTGGTGGTTAAGCTCTTGGACTGAGGCAGAAAGAGGTTTTTGGTGGCTGCACCCATGACTGATCAGCCCTGTTCATGATCCACTCAAACTCCCCTGTAGGGGAGGGGGCTGGAATAGGTGCCCTAATTATAGCCTTCTTTAAAACTCCTATCTGGACTACTGCATCCAGCGGGATCACCACTATGCAGTAAGAAACAACAAAATTAACATTTTAAAGCCTTGAACAGGCAGATCTCAATGGACAACCAATCCAGCGATCAACCCGAAAGACCACATCATTGCCACAGGCCTAAAGAGATTCTGGGTCGAAGCTGCAGCACTCTATGAAACCAAGCTGGCTGATGAAGGGCAGCTGAAGGAGGAACAAGTGGATATACCTTCTTCTGGAAGGGAAAACCCTATGAACCAAGGAGCCACAGTTTGGGCTTTGGGTTGGAACTCTCTGTGGGCATCAATGAATGCAGAAATACCTTTATGTGTGATGCTTGCCCTAGCCAAAAGGCTACCGTAATAAGTGGGTATACTCCAACACATGATGCACACGGTGAAGTTAAGGTGTTCCAAACAAACAAGGACTACATCCTATCTAAAGCCCTAACCTTGTTTGGCTTGGAGACTTCAATGCCAGGGTAGAACTAAAATGGCTTGGGAGAGGAAATAAAGAGTTGGCAATACAAACTCCAGGGCCCTTCACCAAATTCCCCCAGACACATAAAAGCAAGTGTGGGAGCACCACCAAGTCTGGTAGAGGAGAAGGACTTCTTAAGGAAGTAGAAGGCCACAAGGCTGCTGGACCTGATTGATCCCAGGAGAAGTCTTGACAGGAAGGTGGGCCAGACGTCCTTAGCCACATCCATGCTCTTCTCCTTAAAATTGCAATGCAACTCAGAGATACCCTTATTGTCTCTGTCTTAAAAAAATGTGACATGGCTGTCTATGGAATTTACTGTGGCATTTCCCTCCTGTCCACCACTGGGAACATTCTAGTCCAGGTTTTTGCAAATAGACTCCAGCCCCAAGTCCCAGAGTGGATTCTGTACATGATCTTCATTGCTCAACACCTGCAAGAAAAAATGCCAGGAACAATATCAACTACAACTATACATGGCCTTCATAGACTTCACTAAAGCCTTTGACTGTGAAATGTCAAGCCCTCTAGCTGGTTCTGGCAAAAATTGGCTCATGGATCAGGACCTTAAGAGATCAACTCGAGTACAGAACAGATGGAGAAATTCTGAACTTTAGCTGGTTCAGGGCTAAAAGCAAATCCATCACTGTTTCCATCACACAGCTACAGCATGCTGCCGACAACACGCCTGTGGTCCCGTTCAGAGAGGACCTGAAGTGCATCATCTACGCCCTCGCCAAGGCACACAAGTAGCTTGGTCTGTCTCTTAGCATACAAAAAGACACAGGTCCTCCATTAGCCAACACCCAACAGGAACGCTAACACTCCAGCCCTATCCACATCTAAAAACTGACTGCTGTGGACCACTTAACCTACCTCATCCTGTTCTGAAAAGCAATCATGGATACATCACCGGCAGTGCCAATGGGGCTTCTCAGACCAAGGGCTTTCTAAAACCCTGAGCCTCAGTTCCAAAATCCTGGTCTACAAATCTGAATGTATTATTACTTTGCCAGAGTAATGACATGTTGCTGTGCCCTGTATATGAAATTTACTCCATTAATAAAAGTTGGACATGGGGCGCTGGTGGTGCAATGGTTAGGGCACGCGCCCCATGTATGGAGGCTGTCGTCTCAAGCGGGCGGCCCAGGTTTGCATCCCGCCTGTGGCCTCTTTCCCGCATGTCGTTCCCCACTCTCTCTCCCTGGTTTCCGACTCTATCCACTGTCCTATCTCTCCATTAAAGGCACAAAAAGCTCAAAAATAAATCTTAAAAAAAATATTAAATAAGTAAAAGTTGGACATGACCTTACTCACCTGGAAAAGCCTCTATAGAGGAACTGAAACCGGCCTGTTGGCGGGTTTACACAGCTGGGGACCTGTGGGGGGTTTGGGGGCGGGGCTTGTGTTGTGTGGTACAGGTGTCTGGGGGGATCAAGATGTCTCTGAACAGGACTGAAGTTATTTTGAGTGGCTGCAGCAGCGGGGGGAGGGGCTGATGATGATGATGAAGATGATGGTGATAATAATGATGAAGTGTGGGCCCAGTCATGAGGACGGTGTCTGTCACAAAGGCTTCTCTCTACAACGATGTGTAACAGCTCTTCATCGGACAGAAGACTGTAAACACTGAAGTCTTCCAGGTTCACCTGTGCGACGGCCATGTTGGATCTGCCAGATGGAGAAATACATACACATATTTAAATTGTAGATCTTTGGTTTTTGATGATGAAATTAAACCTCAGCTGACGTGATATTCAGCAGCAGGTTATCAGTTACAGGGAGAATCTGTGCTCTGGATAAGACCAGGTTTAAATTTATCTCAACCTATTGCTCAATGTGTTATGGAGGTCAGCAGTGTTTATTTTCTACGTTGTGAAGACATTATATTCAAGCTCTCTGAGAGTTGATAATCTGAACCAAATGTGTGTCTGAATCCAAATCAGTTCTCCCATATCTGTCTTCAACACAAAACCACATGTATACACACATTCTAACTCAGAACAATCACATTCATTGATTAATCATATTTTCTTTGAACTGCCTCAAAAGGATTCTGCTATAAATGAATGAAAACTGATCCCAGTGAACCCTCCTGCTGCTTTGGGAGACCCCTCACAGAGGCAGCAAATAAAACACACAAATATACGGATCGGACAACAACAACACACAACAAACAGACACAAAACATGCAGACAGCAGAGGGAGAGTTCTGATTTTAATCTCAGAATTCTCACTTTAAAGGTCACATATTCTGTAAAATCAACTTCTCCATGTTCCTCTAACTCTAACGTGTCTCTAGTCCGTCTACAAACCCACCAATGATGAGAAAAGTTCATCCTCTCCGTCTTTTGCCTGTCAAAGGGCAGTAGCCCCTCTCACAACTAGGTGTTTGTTCTGCCCTCTAAAGCGCCATTTGGATAGGATGCTTTTTACTACTTCTTTCTGGATGCGCAGTTTGTTTGTATGTGTCCACTCTTCAGTAGAAAGCTCTGATCTTTCTCCTGCTGAGGAGGAGGAGACAAGCAGTGAAGAAGAAGAAGAAGAAGAAGAGGGGGTGTGTTCATGAAATCCTCATGGATTTGGGAGAGTTTCAGCTCGTCAAGGAGTTGCAGCTCTAACACGAACACAACACACATTTCTGCTGCTGTTTGAAACACACCTGGTACTCAACCTGTCGGACATGTCTTTACAAACTAGGCCTTTGTTGTGATCTGATCTTCCCTCCTATCAGACACATCGAGGTGACTTCACAGATAGCTGCGCCCAAGTTGAACACTTTGTAACTTCAGCACAGCGCGCTAGAACAGCATGCACAACCTTCCGCTTGTGCGCCTGTCACATCCTATCTCAAAGGCCCTTCAGCCTGCTCCACTTTTCAGAAAATGTGTGCTCAAACAGGCCTTTTGGAGATTTTCCCTTCATGACATCACAAAGGGCAGTAGCCCCTCCCCCAGGTGGGTGACACTCCCACAGCTAGGTGTTTGTTCTGCCCTCTGAGTCTGCCTTCTCACCGTAAACAATACGACATGGAGCGAGAAAGCACCGAGTACACCCAAGCCCTTCCAGAGAGGGGGCGTGGTCAGACACAGCTCATTTACATATTTAAAGGTACAGACACAGAAACAGCCTGTTCTGAGCAGGGCTGAAATAGAGGGGTTTATAGACATGATCAAATACAGGATCAGAGTGGATTTAGAACAAGAAACTTCACACATGTTTTGAGGCGCTCTGAGACTTATTTACACTGAAGAGGAGGAGGAGGATATGTCACCTTTAAATCTGAGATTTCTTTCCAG